TTAATTTGGAAAGCCAAACCTAACTATCATTAGTGCAGGCTGAGAAGTACTTTCAGTCCTCTTAAAAAAAAAATTCTATTTGATTTAACTGCTTGTTGTGAATGTATAACCTTATTTCCCAAAAGACTAAGTAAGGAATAAATTGTGATTATTTTAAATTCAGTGTGCAGAAGGGAAAAACAACCCACAACACCAAAACCCAAAAACAATCAAACAAGCATTCTTGTATTTGTTCTTTGTTTCACCTCTTATTTTTACTAAAAGCACCTGGTTTAAAATGTTTTGCTTTCTTTATTGCTAATGTATCCCTTATTTTAAACATATCTACTCTACACAGGTTAATTTTTACTGTTCTGCATTTTGCTATCTGTTTATATTTTAATCCAAATGGTTTTATGTTTTGCAATTAAAGACTCACAAAGGATTAAGATGGTTTCTTCAGAAAAAAAAAATATTATTTTTCCTTAAAAGAGGAGATATAATCACAAGAACAAATTTTTTTTTCACAGTTTAGCAAGCATTGGTGCCTCATCAATTACAGAATGATGTAATTTCAGGTTAAAACAGTGTTAGAAATGTGACTAAATAAAGCACAATAATGAAACCGCTATAAAATAAAATGTATTCTTTAAGAGTACATTTAAGATGGCTGTTTCTTCCCAGTTTCAAACAGAACAAGAACAAAGAAATGCCTCCCTGTTAACTCAGTGTAAGTGCATATGACCACTGTGATTCTTTAGCTCAACAAGGATCACAGCTTTTTTAACACTCCCTTCACATAGAAGAATTATGTGCTTACCTATTTATAAATTCTGACTTCTTTGAGCAATGAGAAGTAACATTTAAACCAAATTCTTTGTTAATTTCTTCATCCCAAACAGTGCATCTACATATCTAAAGCTGTAACATTCACTAAGAATTGGGTGATTATTATCTTGCAGCAAAAGATTAGATAGTGATTGCTGCTACCAGATTTACTGAAATACAACAATAAAAACAAAACCAGATAAAACTTGGTTTAAAGTAAAGTTAAGGCATGGTAAAGACAAAAGCACTCCCAAGAACAATCTGCTTTGGCATTTCTTCCTAGATTAGGAAATTCTTATTGAAAAAGCTGTAAAGTAGCAATTAAAAAAGCACTGCAAGTTCAAAAAATTGAGCATGGCTGCTACCTAAAAGACATGCCAAGTACCTTAACTATAATGTAGGTGTGCCTCAGTTTAGCTTATGACTACCAAAACAAACAGTACAAAGCTTTTAACTGTCTGGACAGACAGAGGGAGAGAGAGAGAGAGAGCTTTCCTCCCCTAGCTAGACTAAGCATGGTATTTAGCTTCTTCGTGGGACTTAGATACCCCAATTCATGTGTGACACTTCTCTCACTTGAAGATATCTATCATTTCTTGCATTACCTCACCTCGATGATGAAACAAGGGAATAAAACCAGAAAAATTAGTCAAGTTCTGTTTATATTTATTTGCCTCAGAGAAAACCAATGTCAATCAGGTGCTCGCACATAATAGCCTGTTTTCTTAAAGAAGCATTTCATGGAGACTTTTTAGATCAAATTATTTTTTCTGTAAAATGCACACAGAGAAAATTTTCCCTTTTGTGTCTTTTAATATGCAAGCCTAGCATAAAACCAAAATATTAATGAGAAAAGTTGAATTTTATTGTCATAAAATACTTAATTCTGGAATAACATTGAGATTGGAGATGTCCAGATCAAAGTAACTATAATGTGACAGGTAAGAAAAACTGCAGGCTGCTTATGAAAGATACAGAAAAAATTCTTAGTTTATTTACCTCTGCAAATCCATCTAAGCTAAAAAATTGCATTACTGAAAAGATATTCACTTGCACAGCAAGAAAACTCTTGAGCATAAGAATCCAAACTTTTTTCAAGGGCTTTGGGCAATTTTTATTAAGCTATAATTATTTCCCAAGTCTCTGAAAATGTTCTACTTTGCAGAGCTTAAGTGACTGCTAAATCAACATCCCACACACCACTTAAACCATGTTGACACTTGTTGCAAAATTTCTTTTCCATAAGTTAAAAATCAAACACAAGCTGAGTTTTTCCACAGGAGTTAGTAGTACTGTGAGAATCCTTCTCCTTTCCTTTGGTGAAAGGCTTAAAGTAATTTCACATGCATTAGCTCTCTGGCCAAAAAATGTGCACAAATACTTCTACTAACAAATCTACAGTACTACAATGTGCCTGTTCCCAAATGACTCAAGAGTCTCTCTTAAACTGATCTAAAGAGAAGAAAATAATCACTGATCTCAGTAATTATTCAGAAACAAGTAAACTGAAAGACTGATTTAAATCTACAACAATTACCTGCCAGATAATGAAAAGGCAAAAGCGCACAATACCTAAGGAAGCTAAATACCTAAACAGGATATTTTCTACCATCACTACAGTATTTAGTTCAGCATCTGAATAGAAGAAAAAAAGTGATAAACTTTTATCACCTCTAAAAAAGATGAGGAACTTTTGTAGAATTGTCTCTATTTGCAGTACTATGAATGGTTTCTCTTGTGGCCCGCCTTCACCTTTTAAAAAGTCTGTATCTTCTAGCAGTTTCATTTTTCAGATTTTAATAATGAAGCAGAAGTAATATGGAAAGAGGAGGCTTCTTACTGTTCACAAGTAAAACAGAAATAGATAGCATGGATTAAGCAGCAACATAAAATATTTACAAGCACCAGGACTCCTTGTTACATACTAGAATACAATTAAATAGCAGAATTCTCAAAATTTTCAGCTGCGTGATACTCTCTTGTATATCTGCACTGCAGATTTTGCATCTTCACTGGTGGAACAATAAAGGAATACAAGAACTAGAGTAGTGGAGACCTCAGTCAAGATTCTGTTGGATAACATCCCAAAATAAAGTACTTTCTATTTAAACAAGCATTTGAAAAATAACCAAACAAAGCTACTCTAAAGTATTTTATACACAGGGAAATCTTTGTCCTTGTAAGCTGTTCCAGAGAAAGAGACTTGTAGTGGATTCACCCTCTGAAATCTAATGTACTCTGCAACTGCAGAACAAGAGCACCGCTCAGTGGCACTATCAGAAAAAACAACACTGGTGAAGTCAGTTTTACATATTCACAGCATAGCGATAAAAAAGGAGTTTCCGGTGATTCTACTAAGACAAAAATTTTTCCCACTGTCACTAGTTGGAAAGTCATCCCTACTTCTACCTAAGAGATAGAAAATCCATAATTAACGTATCTGCAAATGCTGATCCTGCCAGTATCATAGCACGATTTATGACTTTACTTTTCTAGGGTTGTGCTTTTCTAAATGGCAAATAGATCCATATTTCTCATAGCAGAAATAAACAACGAGGAGTGCATTTAAAAAATAAAAAAACCCAAATACACAATACACGCATACGCTCTTTTCTAATCACACTAAATTTCTAGAACATGGATTAGTTCTTTGCAAAATGTGAAAATTTTCAGTACTCAAACACTACAGAATCTGTTTTGCTCAGATTAATGCATTACCTGGTAAATTAGTCTTCATTATATCAATGCCCACTTGAAGCTCAGGCTCAGCTGCAAGGACTGCATAATCTCCTTGATGAGAGATATTGAAGTTGTAATTCAAATTGATACCGAATACGGTATTGGCCAGGAAAGGTTTTCCTTTCGATGTCCTTTGCAAGTGTACTTCATTCCAAGGTATGCACATCTTTTCTGCGATTAATTTCCGCATCAGCAGGCGACCAGCCTATGAAATAAAATGGAAGTGATTCATACAGAACTATTATGCTATCTGCAAAATATCCGTGGTTGCTAGAAAATCACCTGCCTGAAAAATATGGCTTTATTACTGCTGATACAAAGTAAGGGTGTATTTTAGCTGAGTAATTTAAATTTCCTCTTTTTATAAAAGTCTGTGTCAACGAAGCAAGAGTTGAATTGAATAAATTTATTATCACTATTAGCACAGAGGCAACACAAGACCCAAAATCACAAAAATAATTGCCTTTCCTATCTTATTTACTTACTTAGGACACTTCATGGCACAAATAAATACTTTTTACACCACCCTGAACAGTAACAGTGTCTCAACAGCCTTCCTTTAGTACAGCCACTCTATTACTTCGGCGCTAAACAAAATATCACTGAGCAGCTGAAAGTGACGGGTAACTTCTTACAGACAAATCCCCACGTCTGTATTACTACCACACCGGGATGCGAGATTTAAAACCCGAATCGTGTAGAACAGCTTTATTCTCTTACACACTACACTGCTGTCTTACGTCCCAGGGCACGCTGATTTTGTCTCCTAACTTGACATCCCCAAACAGAACTTGTGAAGTCTTTCATAGTAACTACTGACAGCAGACTGCAAACATCTCTTTTTGCTCCTCGGCGAAGCAGAGCTGCACGCTTTACGCACCAAGCTTTACACTTTACGATGCATTTACTTCCCCGAAATGCCCTTGTAGAGCATTTTCCCACGAGGGAAAACATTTCCCACTTGGGCAATGCCCAGTCTGCAGAGAGGCAGCCGCGTCCCCGTGCCCCCATGTACCAAGGCGGCTTTGGCATCGCGGGCAAAGACAAACTGGCCGATGCGGTCCTTCTCCTCGGGCTGCACCAGCTGCGCAGCCAGCAGCCACTCCCGGCGGCGAGGGCGCCAGGCGCCGCAGGGGAAGGCCCAGCGCACGCTGCCCATGGCCCCGCACGGCCCCGGCCCGCGGCAGAGAAGCCCGGCCCGGCCAGCGCCGGCTGGACCCGCCTCTCGAACAGGGCGGGAGCCTATCGGCGTGCGGCAGGGACGGAAGGCCCCGCCCTCAAGGCACCAAGGCCAATCCGATACCACAGCACCCTATGAGTGACTGGCGAATGCGCCAGGTACCGGCCTATCAGGGGAAAGGCGGTGTCTGCGGCGGAGCTGCACCCGCGGTGCCGTCAGGGAGGAACCAGCTGGCGGAGATGGGTGGGCTTTGCCCGGGATTGACGGCCGGCGAAGCCATTCCGAGCGCAAGGAGCGAGAGAATGACACCAGAAGGCTCCAATCTGCCGGCACGGCTGCTGCGGAGGGTGGGCCAGAGCGGTCGGTGAGCTACGGGTGTTGGCTGCAGGTGGGTGCGCGCTGCTCGGAGAGAGCGCTCAGGAGGGACTGGCGCTTGGCTGGCTGCGGAGCGGTGGCAGCGCTGGAGGCTACCAAACCCCTCAGCCGGGCCCCGCAATCGCGCTATGAGAGCAAGGGATGCCTTCACCGCATCCCGCCCGCCCTGCTGGGATTAATCCTCCCTTAGAATGAACGGAGCCGCCGCGGGGCGCACGCGCGGGCGGCCCGGGCATGCGCGGTGGCGGCGCTGACCGCCCCGCCCTCCCCCGGCGGGCGGGGTGGCGGTGATGGCGGCCAGGGCTGAGGAGGGTGGGGATGGTCTGTAACCCCGGCATCCCGGCCAGGGTAGACGGAACGTAGTTGCCCTCTGGCTTCTGGCTGCACCCGGCTTTGCGCGATACAGGGACGCGTTTATGCCGTGGGGGGCGAGGGCTGTTGATTCTTGGTGGCACCGTGAACCGGTCAGTGGCAGATGATGTCCCCGGTGTCCCATCGGTGCCATCGGCGCATCCGGCTGAGATGTTGCTGTCAGTACATCCATCCTGCTGGAGAGCCGTCCCAGACCGTGGCAGAGCGGGGTGGCCTCTGCCTGCCCTGGCTTCGCTGCCTATTCTTGCCCAGAAAAGAGGAGCCAATTGTCCCCCCAAAGCAGATGCAACGCGCAGCATCACTCTGGTTGGGTTCTGGCTTCAGAAGATCTGTCCGAACAAAAGCCTCTTGTATCCCGTGCTCAGTGAGGTGCTAAAGCTCTAACTGTTGTCAGAAGTGGGTTCCCACATACCCTCAATTACAGGCCATATGTAAATACTGAAAAGGTAAATTCGTTTGCCTTTTGGTTCTGAAGTTGGGCCATGCCAAAAAACTTTGCGCGTGTTTGAAAATTTATAACCCTTCTTCTTGTTGCTTGTTTTTAGAAATACTTATGCTTCGACCATTCTATATTGACCACGTACAAATGATACAGAAGTATTGAAAATTATATTATTGCGGATGTTTCTTAAAATCCCTCTTTTCTTGTTGCTGTTGTTTAGCATTCACAGCTCCCTGGTCCTTGAGGAAAAGTGCTCTTTCTACACAGGCCAGAAGGTCTTTCTACCTAAAATATGTCATAGTTATAACTGAGTATATGTTGCTCTTTGCAAAATATTTTAAACACAGAAGTAGCGTTTTGAGTACAAATATGTTTCATCAAGGAATCAGTAGTGTACTTAACATATTTCAAAATATTATTCCCATTTTTCTTCATGACTCAGTGAAGCATAATCTATAGTATCCAAAGACAAAGTTAAGTGACAGCAAAAAAAGGATTTAACACAGTCAAAAAAACAATCCAGGAAAATGCTATTCAGTAATACCAAACTGTATCTTACATTTCAAGTATTGTATTCTGCACACTTTGAAGAGGAAATTGTGGCTTTATCTGCATTTAGTTACTGATAGTAGGTGATAATACTAATGGAACGTGAGTCTTACCTAGTTCCAGAAAACTCTGCAGGATCGATTAATAGGTTTGACTTGTCCCTGCTGTCTACTTGGAGAGATTTAAACATATAGCAGGTTTTTTCACTAGCGGATTTATTGATTTTCTTTCAAAATAAGCTTCATGTGTAAGTGCAAACTGAAGCTCAAGATGCATTGTATAATATGTAATAAAATTATTGATGTAATGAATATAAACTAACATTCTTATTATAAGTAAAACATGATAATAAGCTATGCTAAATTACTCTATGCTCAGTGTATGATTTGGAAAAAACCACATATTTTAATCACATACAAAAGTGACACTACAGAAGCCATTAAAAGCAGTGATTTTCTTTTCCGGAATTTGCAGTCATTATTTTTGCCAGAATTAGAAAAACAGCATGGCATTTTAATTCCAGGTTTTTTTCTGGAAACTTAAAATTACAGTTCTTGATCTTTTTTAGCTAAGAAAATAATTTGCAAAGGAACTTGATGACTTTGAGGAACTTAGCTTTAGGATGAAATCCAGTCAGTTTTAATTCTTCTAAGTGATTGTTGCTTTATCTTAATGGATTCATGTGTTTATGAGAGAACACGCATTTAACGATCACTGCCTGCAGAGTGGGAATATCCCACTTCTTGAATGCTTCCAGGGATCAATGGAATTTCATTCCTTCCTACTGATATCATGCTGAGGTTTTTTTCCCTGTTGTTTTTTTTTTTTAAATCACTTCTAAAGAACACTAAGCTTTAAAGTCTCTGTGTCACCTCTCAGTGTGAGAATACTCTCTCAATATGTATTATTGATAAATGCCACTTTTGTGGATTAAATGTCTCAGAATGTCACATGCATTTTTTTTGATTGTCTAAAGATGATTGACTGAATATGATTTTTATATTGAAGTTCAGTTATTTATGAAGAAGCTGTGAGACTCAGTTGCATTTAAATTTCCAGACTAGAACCTGGAATTCTCTTACTGTTTTCAATCTTAAGCAGTCAATGACAATCAAAACATTAATACAATATGAAAGTACAGAACTTTTTACTTAGTATTTACAGTTTAGTTACATTTTAAACCACTTCTGTCTTTTTAGTCAGCAATTAGAAGTGTCACCAACTCCTTCAGATATCTGTTCCACTCATACTCACCTTGGTGAATGTTAAATTAGATGTGTAGTGCAGAGCGATGTCTTTTAAACTTGTTAACAAATTATTAATTTCTCCCCTTTTGAATGGATAAGGAGTGAAAATAGCAAATCATCTTAATGGGTATATAGTAGACTTAATAATATAATACTTATTTTTAATATTAGATTTTTAAATGCTGACCTTGGCCTTTTCAAAACATAAATTATTGTCCAGTTAAATTTTGTATAAAAATTATGAAACCTCTCTAGAGAATGTATACAATTTCTTCATTGGTCTTCTTTCTCCAGAGGTACGTAAATCATGGTGTAAAATATTAGCTCTTATCTCTTTTTTAAAATCCTGTTACGCAGTAAGACATACTATCCAAGTTGGGAGAAGGCCAAGTGACAAACGTAATGTTCCATTGAAGAACAATTTATTTCTCATAAGCTACCTGCTAAGAAGTATTAAGAACTAATTTTTTTTAATTGGTGAAAGGGTGTTGTAGCACAGCTTTATTGTGCTCTCAGATGAAGCAGATAGATTGTTTTACAATTGTTTGTAAATACTAAAGTACCAAACAAAGGTTGAGTTTAGGCTGTTATTGCCAACTGTGTTGGTAGAGGAGAGAACAGCTACACACAGAATGTTATTTGCACTTCCTAAGTGGCTACATATCTCATGTAAGTTTGGTTGCTTCGTGCTGGGAATAGTGTCGAGCTTCAGTCCCCTTAGGACTGTTTACTGTCAGGCAGGCACAGCAAAAAAGTGTTTTTCTGACAAGGTGATGACTTAGCTGTATGTGATACTTATGTATACTCAGTACTTTCACAAAACAACATCCCCTAGGCTTTTTAAAAGTCACATATATTTGTATATATATATTTTCATCATACTATTATAAAGTGATCAAGTAGTTTGATCTAAATCTTTTCTGGTGTCCTTCTGTAACCTTATCTGGGTGTTTGTGCTCCATTCTTATTACACATGTTCTCCCTTTTAAAATAAATTTTCCTTGGTTATTCACTGAGAATTTAATTGTACATCTTCCGCCATTCTCAACTTCATTGGCATATTTAAACTTCTTAGGGCAAGTGTATTAACTTTAAGGGAGTTTACTTTTGGAATTGTTTTGGATTGTCTTTGTTTGGGTTTTTTGTTGTAGAAAACCAGGCTAATAGCTGATGGGGCATTTGTGAGTGTAAGATGTATAAACATCTAGGATGTGAGCGGGGAAGCTTTGTCAAGTGGTGTATAATTGGTTCATGTATAGCAGTGCTCAGGGTCTGATGTGTCATGTTATGGGAGATGTTGGAAAGCTGGTTGCTCTACTGCACACAGCCATGTGCTAAGAAACAAAAGTAGGAGTTCCCAACTCTAATGGACCATCTACTAGAGTTTGGGTTTTGGTAATCCACATAAAGACAGGCCTTGAAACTGGAATCCTGTGGGAGTTAATAGAGCAAATAAAAGGAGGCTTGTAGCCCAGCTTTCCTGAACTGCAGACCTATGCAACATATGTGTGCACCCCCTGTGTTTTCTATCCTTGTTGTCAGTAACTTGATCAAATATTGATTAAAAACCCTCTATTGATTAATTAATAAAGCTTTGTAGAAGAAAGTATGAAATAATTATAAATGCTAGTTAGCCTTCTTTAATGTACCAAGTTTTAGCTGAATTGTTAAGATAGTTTGGAGGGCCCTAAAATCATTAACAGAGTGGTAAATTAGTACCAAAATTATCAAATAAGTCAGGAATTTGCTACAAGAAAGATGAGAATTTAATTTTTTTAATATGCATTTTCTTAATGGAGGCAAGGGTAAATTAGGCTAAGTCATAGCACAGTATTCATTACTACATTACTTAATGGTGGACAAAAATATTAAAGATACACTGCTGAATTTTGCTTTTAATAAAACAATGAGACATTGCTATTAGTGATTTGAATTAGGATGCACTAGATGACTTGCAAACTGGAGTAGTGAGACAATGATGAGATCTTAACCATAATGCTGTACAAAAAATATGATATCAGTGAAAAAAATTTAAGATCAAACTGGAGTGGATGAAGAGAAAACTGCAAAAAATAGGAAGGAAAACCAAAAATTCAGCCTTATAAATGGACCTTTGAAAATTTGACAATTATTCATTCTAATGAAAGTTGAGAGGAGATATCAATAATATCGCTTTTGATAATTAAAAGATTGAAGAAATATACAACAGAAAATTAGGCCAAATTACAGTTTAACAGAAGAACAAATGTATGTTAGGATTAATAAATTGATCATGTAATTAAGAAATTTTCAGTCTCGACACCAGTACACTGGGATAGTCTTTTACCAGTGTACTGGTAATAGTGTGGTAAAAGAAAACTTTCTGAAACTTAGATTGCTTTTATGAAAGTGATTATACGATGTTTTTTTCCTAAAATAGGAGAGATGGATTCGATGACAGTAGATGTTGCCGTGCTCATTATACAAACATGAATATTACTTAAATTGGAAATTTTACCTACAGAAAAAAAGGTGTAGATTAGAGCTTGTTACAGAAATTACATGTAAAAGGAGAAAGATGTCTACTATCTATTTTCAGTTCCAGAATTTTGTGAAAAGGTTTTGTTTAGAAGAAACGTTACTTTACGTTATGCCAAATAAACTTTGAAATTCACTAGCTTTTTAAAGAATGTTTCATTAAAATATAGGAAACTAATGTAACTGAAACAACTCTGCTTTTAAAGATTCGGTCTTTTGAGGAGCAGGCCTCTAAGTTCATAAGAAAAGGGTATTCTAGAGAATTCTGACATATAAAAAAGCTTTATGATTTATTGAAGCTGGGGTTTATGAGGCCATACATTATCAGAATAAATGGTGGTCTTGTTCTTCTGTATTTTCCTAGTTCCTCAGGCTTAGAATGGAAACAGTGAATACGTGAGATTGTCTGGCCATGGGAAGGAGAAGATGCCTGCTGCAAGGGTACCAGTGCTGGCAGCAAGATCACTGGATCTCTTCTATTCCAGGAGACATGGAGGTCTATTTGTGGTTGGAGCTACCTGACTAGATAAAGTATAGATCAGTCTGCTGTGAAAGTACCTCCCACGAAGAAGACTGCCCAATGCTTTAGTTTGCTCTGAATGTATCATGTTATCAGATAAGCTTTTTCATGAAATTAAAAGCCAAATCCAGTATTTTTCTGTTTTCTGAACTTGGCTTGGAATTTTTTATACCCTTGTCAATTCAGGTGGGCCATTATTTGTTGCTAACTTTAATTGGAGTTGTGGAAGCAAAATCCTGGAATAAAACTTACAATGTTTCTTTAGCTTTAGAATAGGCAACCTCGACTCAGGTTTGCAGTAAGGCAGTTTATGCATCTGCAACGTATAAATAGCTCTTTAAATAAGTGTAAATAAAATATAGTCATGTTTAAAGCTTCTTTATGTTGACAAAGTGGAGTAAAATATTTTCACTGTAAGAAAAGCCAACTTACCATAGAAAAAATACACTTCAGGATGGGGATCTTCACAAGAACCAAAACTTGGTTGCTGAAAGGGAGATTGCACTGTCTTGAGTTTAAATGGGTTCTGAAGCCAGTTAATTAATGCCACTGTAAATGAAGCTCACAGTGGGCAAATATACAGCTACCTAGCAAAACCAGAGCTGCAAGACCAAATCAGTTTCAGTTGACTAAACACTCAAAGGTGTACTGTCACCAAAATAAGTGACCCTGTTTTGTAAGCCCCAGCAATCCTGTGATTCGACCAGGCTGTTGGTGTCCGTTGGTATTCTGTTATTTCAGTCCAGAGTGCCTCATGGGAATTCACTTAGGAAGCAGTCTAGTAGCCTGTGTCTCCCTTCCACTGCAAGCTGTAGAAGCTGTGTGTCCCTTCCACTGCAAGATTCCTTTTGGAATCTAAAATATGTAAGAAAGTTTTCTTTTTCCATCTTCATTTTCCATTAAATTGTAAGAGTTTGGATTTTTTTTGAGGGTAAACCTAGGACTAGTTGTTCTCTTAAATGACCATTAAAAAATCAATTATACTCCTTGCTTCCTGTGGACTTTACTGGAAGAATTCCTATAGGTGGACATTATTTGTAGAGTTGTTCTTTGACATGTGGCAGATATTTTACTTTTTGAAATGTGCTGTGTGTATATATTTTAAAAAGGAGAAGTGTTGTTATGAAATTCAGTGTAAAAGTCACTTATAAACAGATTTCTGACTGTGCATAGGATTTACAAACTAAATTCAACACTGGGAACTTTTTTGTTTGTTTTATGGTATACTGATTTTGCTTGTGTTTTTTTGATAATAAGACTGAAGAATCAATTATTTATTTTTCCATTTCAGGAAGAGATTGAAGAAAACATGGCCAATCAACGGGATTACATTAGCAGACCTATTTGCAATGGGATTTCTGTTCCCGAGAATAAAATCAATTCCTTAGTGGCTGAAGGTCATGGACAACAAATTCTAAAAGTACTACAAAAGTTCAGAGAACAAAATATATTTTTTGATTTTAAAATTGTCGTGAAAGATGAAATAATTCCCTGTCATCGTTGTGTACTGGCAGCATGCAGTGATTTTTTCAGGTAAACCTAAGTTTGGCATGAGTTTGCAGGAAATAGATCATAAGTTCTCTGGGTGGGAGGAAAGGATTATAATTACAAAAAAAAAAAAAATCATCACAACTTACATACATGTGCAGGGTTTTGAGCCAAGCGTTCAAACATCATTTTAAGGATACACCAGACGCATCTGTTTGTATTTCCAAAGTGCCATGAGGACTCCATGAATTCAGACATCAGTCCATACTCTGAAATACAAGTTTCATACTATAAGTGTGTGGTTCTGCTCTTGGGTAGAACTGACACAAGTTAATGTATATATAAGAGTTACCTGTTGTCTGTATCAGTACTTAAAGGTCTGAAAGGATATTGTTTTACTTTGTATTGGACAGTCTGTGTACTTTGACACATATATAGTAAAACATAACAGGTTGATTACAAATACATCCGTTGAGCAGTTGTGGATTATTTGTACACAGCTGTGGAATGGGACTGCATTTTATTTGTCTAAGGTGCATGGTTGGTCTGTAGAGTGTCTTGAATTAGGACAGATGTATTTAAACAGATGTACTTTTTCCAAACTACAGATTTCAGCCTTTCAGCATGAAAGGGATCTGTGATCTTCCTTCTGGTGCTTAAAGCTATATGTTCTTAAGGAACAGCCTTAAGGATATTAATTTATGAAGAACCTTGCTAGCCTTTTTATTAGTGAGTCTCAAACTTGAAATTCCACACTGAAAGTCTGTTTCTGAATGCAGTGTTAAATAAAACAAAACTAATACTCTAACAATTAAAGAATGGGCTCCTGGAAACGAGTTAATGACCTCAATTCAGTTGCCCATACATAGGTTACAAGTGTTACTTTCAAATGTCCTGGAATATCCCATGTTCTATGGGAGTCTGCCATATTTGACAGAAGACAGCTAGACATATGCTTACAATTACTGGAAAAAAAAGGAGAAATCAGGTGAAATGAGCAATTTCTCCCCTGTAGCAGCACATTTGGTTTTTACTCTGACACAAAGAACTATTTGCATTTATTCCTTTACTGCTTGACAGCACAAAGATGCTCTAGTAGAAAGAAATATTAGGATGAAATAGCTTCCAGTGGTAATTTTTAGAACTGAAGTTATGCACGTGGTAACCTATTTGTCCTTTTCACTACCTACAGGCTCTTCAGATGAAAATTTGCTAGGAAAGATCTCTCCCTACTGCTAAGAGTTGAAAAAAGCAGCCATCAGATTCATAAATTATCCTCAATTACAAGGCCCATTTTTTTACCTTCAAGGAATAAAAAGTACTTAAGTCCACTAGATAAATTTTGAAATGGAACACCTTTTGTCTTCATTGGCCTTTGGACTTTTCTTAATTTTGGTTTCCTTGTGTAAACCCAAAATTCAGCAATATTTTGATACTTGTTAGCTTTCAGAGTCAAGGCCTTTGCCTAGATTGCTCTCTTACTGGTATTGTTCAGTTGCTATATTACTCTGTAATTAGAGATTTCTATCATAGCTCTTGGTTTAATTAGGAAAGGATTCTAAGGGTCATCATTAAGTATGCAAAAAGGTCTTTGGGACATGAGTGTCTTACTGTAATTTTATTGTCTTGCTCAGGAAGTCAGGCATCTTCCTGCTTTACCAGACGTTTACTTCCCAAAGAGGATGCTATACACAGTACATTTTTTTTTCACTCTTTGGCTTCAGAAAAGGATGCCATTTTAAAAATCCCGTAGTATAGAGATACTTATTGTATAACTGAACTGTAATACTTAACTGAACTATAATACTTTCTTTTTAATATGAACTATAATACTTTCTTTTTAATATGAACTATCCATGATAATCCAGATTCTGTGCTTAGCATCTGGTAATTTATTTGAATCTTCCTCCACTATCGTCTTTTGTCAAATTCAGAAGCCATTGCTATCCCTGATGCTTAGGCTAGGGCAAGGGATATTGCAGCACTCTTCTGTTGCCAGCACTTATCCGCTTGAAAAACTTTAGTTATTTTATCTTGCCATGTTAGATTGTGTGAAACAGTTTAACTACTTTATTCTAAATATGTAATAATATTTAAGTTGTAATAAAATTTCTACAGATCTACTGATCAGTAATTCATTCCACAATTTTAATTGTCTTTGTATTCAGTCACAATCTACTTTCTGCACAGTTTCATTGTGCCATGCAATCCTACATGAAAACCTCATTTTTTTCTGACGTTGGCCTGTACTCATACATCTGTCAACTCTAAAGCAAGAATTAAGTTTCCTCATGTTTTTTGCCCTTATTCACCCCTCACATACTTTTTATTTCCAAGGAATGCACCCATCATCCATCTTGCCATTTGCTCAGCCTGCAATTTGGAAGGATTTTTTTCACTTAATTTTATGAATTCAACCACAGCACATGACCTAAATCGCGGGCCTTTTTTTACTCTGTATTTTTTCAATCAGGCTTTCTTTCCTAAGCTGTTGAAATTGGTGCTGTCCTGAACAATTTCACATTTTCTTTCATACTAAGTGCTGCAGACTTCATTGCTCTCTGTGAAAATCCATACAAAATGCAGGTGCAGCTATCATTTTTTTAAGCCACCACTGAATATGTTCTTATCACCACTCCTTTCTTCTTCAAACATACCAAGTAAATCCATTGTACTTTCTTATAAGAACTTCCATACTTTAGACCTATTTTAGATCAGCCCACCTTATTATACACCTGATTGTCTCCTTCTTCTCATATCTGTGTTCTCTGCTGTTTGCCAAGTGTTTAATTTGTGTGCATATCTTCTGTATTTTATTCACAGAGCCATGTTTGAAGTTAATATGAAAGAACGAGATGACGGCAATGTTACAATTAGTAATCTGTCACCCAAGGCAGTGAAAGCTTTTCTTGATTACGCTTACACAGGAAAAACAGAGATAACAAATGATAATGTGGAAATGCTCTTTCAACTGTCGTCATTTCTTCAAGTTTCACTCCTTTCCAAAGCTTGCAGTGACTTTCTAATAAAAAGTATTGATCTTGTGAATTGCCTACAGTTGCTTTCTCTATCAGAAAGTTATGGGTCCATCCGCTTGTTTGATCATGCGCTAGATTTTGTACAGCACCACTTTTCATTGCTGCTCAGATCAAGTGATTTTTTGGAGATGAATTTTGAAATATTACAAAAATGTCTTGAGGCTGATGAGCTAAATGTCCCTGAGGAAGAATCAGTGTTGAAAGCTGTCCTGCAGTGGACCAAACACAACTTAGAAACACGGCAGAAGTACCTGCCTAATTTGATTAAAAAAGTGAGACTACACCAGTTACCTGAAAAGACTTTGCAGGACTTTCTGCATGCTGAAGAACACTTACTTAAGAGTGCTGATTGCTCAGTAATAATCAGTGATGCAGTTAAAAGTGTGCAAAACTTCAGTGGACTGTTTCCAGATGCACGTCCTTCAACAACAGAAAAATATATATTTGTTCATAAAACTGATGAAGATGGAGAAAACAGACATACATTCTGCTACAACATCAAAACAGATAAATGGAAGGAACTACCGCACACGCACATGATTGATCTGCCAGGGTCAAGTTTATCTAGCTATGGAGAGAAAATATTTATAACTGGAGGATGTAAGGGGAATTGTTATAGGACTGTCAGACTTCATATTGCTGAACCGTTTCATGATGCCACTGACCAAACCTGGTGCTACTGTCCAGTCAGCAATGAATTCTCCATAGTATCAGCTATGAAAAAACCCAGGACAATGCACACATCTGTTGTAACCTTAAATCAGCTCTTTGTTATAGGTGGAAAGACAAGAGGAGCTCAAGAAACCCGAAGTCTTCTGGATGTGGAATCCTATAATCCTCTTTCCAAAGACTGGAAATCTGTAAGCCAATTACCAAGAGGTATCTACTATCCAGAAGCAAGTGCATGTCAGAACATAATTTATGTCCTTGGCTCAGAAGTAGAGATTACTGATGCCTTTAACCCATCTCTTGACTGTTTCTTTAAGTATAATGCTATGACTGATCAGTGGTCTGAGCTTGTAGCAGAATTTGGGCAGTTTTTCCATGCAACTCTAATCAAAGCTGTTCCAGTGAACTGTACATTGTACATCTGTGATCTCTCCACTTACAAGGTCTACAGTTTTTGCCCAGAAACCTGTGTTTGGAAAGGGGAAGGGTCTTTTGAATGCGCTGGCTTTAATGCAGGGGCAGTTGGGACAGAAGACAAAATTTATATACTGGGTGGTGATTATGCTCCAGAAGAAATCACAGATGAAGTTCAAGTCTACCATAGTAGTAGGTCTGAGTGGGAAGAAGTTTCACCAATGCCAAGAGCCTTAACTGAGTTTTACTGTCAGGTTATTCAGTTTAATAAATATAGGGACCCCTGGTCACCTGTACTGACAATTTGCTCTGGAGAATTTTGAAACTCCTAAGTCAACAGAATCTATTTAAATGCACAAGTTTTAGAACAGATTTTTAAGTATTCATTTACAGATGGAGAATTATGTACCTGTTAGTTTAAATCTTCGGTTTAAATTGTATGTTGTAGGATTGCTTTTGGAAGAGCCCATTAACATGTCATTCATGCTAGTTATACAGAAAATATTAATTTTATATACAACTCTTTAATAATTTTGAAAATGATGTTACTTTTCAAAAAAGAATAGTCACGAGGAATTCACTGTGTAATATGTGCCATTATTTCTGTAATATTCACAGTTGTCCCAGAAGACAAATAGCTAAATGAGAAAATTGACTGTGATACTATTTTCCCTATATAACTGAAGTTTAAAAGAAATCTGCATTAGTTGTTGTTTAATTTACATTTTTTATATTGATAAACCTGTAAGAGAAATTAATTGTCAACTTTATCTTATCAGAATGACCTTAGCAAGGGCGAGACCCAAAGTGACCTTCACAGCATTAAAACCAGGTATCTAACTTGAAGAGACTGATAATTCCTATCATCTTACTTCAGCTCTTCAGTTTTACCAGTTTTTCTCCATCCTTGTGCCTTAGTAGTAGCTTTATTTTCTGTTTCTGTCCCATTAACTGTAGCAAGGTAAACTTCAATAGCCTACTGTAGAGTGGGCAAGATTTATACAGGATGGATGATTCATGTGGTATCTTTGTTTCAGTCATGCTGTTAACTAAAGAAAAAACCCTTCAGGATGTTTCCTAACAGAAGTCTTCCATCTCTGAAGTCTCCAATGCTACCTACTAAACAGTCACCAGGCTGCTTACAGCAGCAAGCTGTAAAATAAATTGTAGTTGTTGCTTTGGTTAACTATGGGAAAAGTTTGTATCATACAAAGTTACAAAAAAATACACGCAGTATTAAAAGTTAAAGTAAACAGTATTTCTGAGGTGAAAAATCTTCTGTAGTGGTTTCAAGAATTAAAACACTTGTACTTCATGGTCATTTTAAGTGTTAAAACATTTCACAGTAAACACTACACAACATATTGCTTGATAAACTTTCAGTAGTCATCCCTTATAATGTTAAAATTGTAATGGACTTTTAGTATTAATATTAGCCTAGGCATATATTGTGAAGTAAATTTGATCTCATGCTTACAAAGGGGACCCTCTTTCTGACAGGAGAACAATGAAATTAGCTAGGTTTCCTAAATTAATTTGTAATCTTTTGCAGCCTGAGAATTTTCTTTTTGTACCAGGTACTCGAATAAGACGCTGAGAGCCCTTATGTTCCTTATAGGTATCTTGTAAGCAGTAAGGTTGTCCTACAACAGAAGGAATGGTTCTAAACATCTAAGCACACCTTTTCCAAGCAGTTCAAAAATTAATCAAGTTTAGTGAGGCATCTGAAACATCTTTCATATGACTTGAGACAACTGTTCTAAGTTCGTTATCACACCACTACTGCATGTACTTTTTGCAAAACTCAAGCTCAATATTAATGCTTAAAGCTTAATATTGCCTAGAACATACTTCTCTTTTAAACAGTAAACAACTGAAGTCTGTGATTGACTCTATAATTTGTTATCAGATACCTTTATAAATTTAGATAACATTCATTATAACTATTTTCATAAGTATGTAAATTAAAATTATTCAGATTTGGAGAACATAGTAATAGAGAAGGACCCTTCCACTCTGTAATTCCTTTGTATTAAGATGTGTCAGTTCTGTAGAAGTAAATAGCTGCTTGTTACAATATTTCAGGCAACTTCCACATATATTTTGCTTTTTGCATAGTGATTCTCCAAATCATATTGTAACTACAATTAGCTAGGTAACCTCTACAATCATCTTATGGAAATGCAAATATTTTTATATTGGAACACAACTACTTTTTATTAGTACAAAGCAAATGTATTGAGTAGTATTGAATAGAGAGAGGAAGAATACTGTTCCTGCTTACTGAAACCCTAGGAGAAAAATAAGACACATAGGAAAAGAGTAGTTTTAACATTAATAAAAGCTACTCAGCATAGCTTAAAGACTTCATTAACCATTATTTATTGCACCTTGTCACATTGGAATACAAGGCCCAGTTCCCTTTTGCTTATTTATTTGTGTTGGTTTTGTACCTGAGTATTGTGAGTATGCAGTTTATGCAATGACAGAAGTAACATACTGTGCCCATAGTACATGGGTATAAATAGCTATGCAAATTGGAATAGACTAGAGAATTGCAAGGGTTTTTTAATTGCCACTGTCATGACCAAATTGCTGGATCATGTAAACAGTAAGCGAGTCAGTCAGTAATTCAGGTGATGCTCTTTCCCCAAAATTTTTCCTTACAGCATTTTTTTTGGCAGTCTTCCATCCAGCTACTTGCTATATGTAAAAGGCTCTAGCATAGGACACCAGAGCAATGACATATGAGATAAATTAGTGTAGATAGTGAAAACTGAATGAAGCTTAATTGGGAAAATAGACATGCTTCTTTAATATTCTATGCTATACTTGCACAGGAACTAATGTCAGTTCCCAGTTTAACCAATCATTCCTGGATTTCACATGGAGTTGAGCTTTTTTACTCAGTGATCAGGAAATAGTGTAGTTGTGTCAGTTACTTTCTGTCATTGCTTACAGAAAAGTTACTGTGAAATAGGACTGATTTTCTTCAGTTAGGCAGGGAAGGCTGTACTACAGATCTCACAGAAGGAAAAAAAGGTCATTTGCCACAATTCCACATACAAAGTATTAAATCTGATAGGAGAATTGAATGCAGAAGAAGCTGTGTTAGAAAATCGTGGTTAAAAATAAGGCTTTCTCATAGAATTAAAGTCCTATGTTCCAAACCCTCTGATTGATTGCTAAAGATGTAAGAAATCTCAGTGAAGTCAGCTACACAAAAAAATATGCATTATTTGCATGAGTAACTGCTGTAGGTCTGGATCAGATTTTTCATTCTACTTTACACAGTTGTTACACAATTTTAAAAAGGTCACAAAGTCAGTGCAAAGCAAGTTTTTCTTTATCTTTTGTGACTTTTCAAAGCTCACAGTACTTTATGAAAAAGTACCTTCCTTAAAAAATAGTTGATAACTAGATTAATGATTACCAGTGTTCTCACTGAAATAGAGTAAGATGTTTAAAACAAATTGCATGTAAAGTTATAATTACTATTTGCACTTAAATGATGTAACCAAAACATTTCTAATAGTATTCTATTTTATGTCACAGAACACATTATAAGCATGACCAATATAATATACATGGAGATAATATATATTGTATGTGGGATTTTAATATCCAGTGATGATTATATTGGATAATCTTAATTTTTAAAGAATGCTATCAAAATATTTAGCACTTTGATAATATTATCACACTGGTTTAGTTGTTATAATAAATATCAGTTATTCAGGTGTTGATTATGTTTGCACAGACTTGATGATTATTATTTATATACTAACTTTTGGTTTTCCATATTCAAAATACATTTTTAGTAAGTCAGTTTATTGCTGTTAAAAATTTATTATATTCACAGAATGCAGTAGATTTGCCAGGTCAGATTTATTTATGGTATTACTCCATGAAGAAAGCTGTTTACCTCCTCTGGTCAGTATTAGGTAGTAGGCAAGGTATAGGCTGTAGAATGTGCTGACTGCAGTTTGTCATGTGGAGTATAATTATAGATGTTTCTGTTTGTAGATGACCAACAGGAGGCAGCATAAGATCTATTTGAATTAAAACACCTGAAAACAGGGATATATTTGACATTACTTATAGTTGACCATTATGCTCTATTTTTTTTTCCTTCTAACATCCAATAAAGCGTAGAGATCAGTAACATTTTGCTGCTGCCTGGGCTCTGCTGATATGTGGAAAGTATGATACTACATGTTTGCCGAGATGTTCATTCTTTTGTGAAATAAAGCACTAAGCAAGCAACTCCTTCTCGGGTCTGATTTTTTTTTTTTTTGGCAGTTTCAATCAGCAGTGTTTCTATTACAGTTGACTCCTTTTTTTTCCCTCCCCCTTTCCCTCCCCCTCAACTGGAGAACATTTTGAATGTTAGATTATAAACAAAAATGCACTTAGCATGCATGAAAACTGCAGTGAGGGGGTTTTGTGTATCCTTGGACCTTGTATTTGTATATCCTTTGCCTAATGAATTGCTGTTCCCATGCTGAAAAGTTCCAAGTTTAGCATTATAATGCACTCATTTAAACTGGGGTTGGTGTTGGTTTTTTTTTTTTAATTAGATCCATACAGCTTGGATTGATAATACAGGGAGTTTTTAACAGTTTAAGTATTGCAAATGATTAGGTATTAAGTTTTACTGAAATGGACTCCCATACTTCTAGAAGTGGCTTTAAATAAAGGAAGATGCAAGTTACTTTGTCTAAAATTCACATACAAAGGGTGCAGAAATGGCATCAATACAAAGTGAGGGAGCCCTAGGTTGTCTTGCATTCTTCCAAAACTTAAAATTCTGTAAGCCTCAAACCTCTGTATAGATAAAACAGACTTACAGTAATAAAAATCAATCTTCCAATGCTCCGAAGCCTTTGCCCAACAGCTAGCAAAAGCCATTTGGAGATACCTCCAAAGTGTTCCAACAGCGTTCACAATGTTAAAAGGTTATGTTGAACAATGAAGGAATAAACAGACCAAATTTGAGAGGTCTAGTTGTGCAACCCTGTGGACAATCAAAAGAAAATTGCACATGAATGTTCTACAGAAGCAGGGAATTCACCATGCACTTGAACAATTTGTATCTGAACTGTAGACCGTATGGCAGGGCTTTTCCTGTTGTCGTCAAAAGCAAGTAACTGAATAAAGTACACATAAATTACACATAAATTCAAGACATATCCTACATGAATGAAGGAGATCCAAGCATTTTTGTTGGAGGAAGCTACCATACACCATACACAGTGATCAGTAGTCTCCATAATAGCAGAGTAACAATAGAGGGAGAAAACAGAGCTATTTAAAATTATGTGCACAGCTACTCTAGGAAATCATATGCTTCCTAGTTAAAATTATTCTAATGGATACTAATCATATTTAGTGGTTTTGTGCCTCACAATAAAAGGAGGACACTTAATGAGGTGTAATTAGGACTAATTATTTTTGCAGACTGGCAGAGGTTCAGATTGTTAATGACTTCCACTTTCCATCATTTTTCCATCTACTTGCACCTGAATCTAGTTTGAAGTAGCTTGCAAGACCTTTAGGGCACACTTGAATCTCATTTGTGAGCACTGACAAAATACTAGTAATAATGTAAATGAAAACCTTGTTCACACATAGCCCTCAGTAAGAAATATCCCTGTATTATATATGCCAGCAATGTAGCTTAGCTTGCTACCCTATTCGTTACTGTTTTCCTTTTTAATTTTTTATTATTTTCAGTACACAATGAGCAAGTAAGGCAGCAAAACTATCACTATCTGTAAGTAAACTGCTAAGTTCATAGCCTTTAGTTTCTATGAAATATTTTGAGGGAGTTCAATATCGGAATTGTTGACTGAAACTGGAAAATGCCATCTTAAAGGAGAGTTGTAGTTTCATCACGATTTTGATCACTTGAAGCTTTATTAAGGAAATAAATTATCTGTCCAGTGAAAATAAGTCCAAAAACTCATTACAGCCCATAACTTGGATTTGAAAGGACTGAGCAAAGTGCTAACAAATATGCAAAACAATACATGCACATATTAGAGCAGGCAGAATGAAGGCAGCAAACTTTAGACAAAAAGTAGTGCCTTCAGCCTGCACGAAGGTTACGTGACCAAGGCAACAGGATCCAACACAGAGGACAAGGACCAGACACATCTTGTGACGCAGAGAAGCCCCAAACCAGAAAGGTCCACAGAAGCCTTTTGCGTGTATATTCAACCACATCAGTGACGTGGAGGCTTACACATGCAGCACTTCCCGAAACATTTTCACTTCTTGAATTACAGTATCAGTGCAAATGCTGTTTCTCTATTTGAATCACGAACGGCTGGCTGCCGCGCGTTCGCGCTGTATTGCAGCACCTTAAACCTGTCGCACCCAAGGTCTTGCACGGCAAACCCGCATCCCCGCGCTGTCCCTGCCCTCTCCTTCGCTTGCAGACCCCGCGGAGAGGCGCCGCCGTCCTCCTACGAGCCCTTCGCTGTGCTGCGCCCTCAGACAGAGCAGGCGGAGCACCAAACCAGACCCGCTTGACTCCATCGTAACCCCATGGAGGGTCCTCCATCAGGGGAGAGGCGGGCCGTGGCTCCTCGTAGCCAATCACCAGCCGGTCTGCGAAAGACAGACGGCGGCTGTAGCCAATGGCTGCCCGGGTGCGGCTCGCCGCGCGGCCCCGCGGGCGGAGGGACGTGGGGGATCCCGGCCCGTCCGGCGCGTCAGGGCGGGGCGGGGCGGGGATAGCGGCAGGCACGGCCCGCCAATAGGAGCGTGGAGAAGACTGACAGACAGGTGGCTCGCCCAATGATGACGCAGTCACCGTTAAAGGGCCGGCGGCCCGGAGGGGAGCGCCAGACGCAGGTGAGCGGGGAGTGAGGCCCCCGGGGACCGGGCGGCGGCACCGGGCGGGGAGGGGGTGGCCGTTGCCTCCGCATTGTGCCGGCAACCCCTGGCACCTTCGGGAGGGGTTGAGCGGTGCGGTTCCACCGCTCTGGGCCCCTGGGGGCAGCGAGGCGATTGTCCTCCGCCTTCTCTCGCCACGGGGAGGCTCCGCTCCTCCTCCTCCTGCTCCCGGGAGAGTCGCGCGGCCGTGCCGCCTGGAGGGACCGTGGGCTGCGGCGGGAGCCGCGGGCCCGGCTGCTCCCTGGGGCTCAGGGGCCGTGCCCCCGCCTTCTTTTGTTGCCGCCTCGCTCCCCGCAGCGCTCGGGTGGGAGCGGGCTGGAGCTGGCCCCGCACCCGGGGCTGTGCCCGCAACCCATCCTCCGAAACGCGCCCCTCGCCGGGGAGGGGCTTTTGTGCCGCTCGTGGCCGTGACTGGTTCAGAGGAAGGGGGATTTCAGCGTGACGAGTCTGTGGATTCATTAGCCTGAATCCACAGCTGTCCCTCTCCTTTTTGCTCCGTTAAATGGTCCTTTTAGGTGGTATTGGTTCCCTTCCCTGCATGCCTTTTCGCTTTCGCAAACAGTGGGGTTCTTGCAGGAGGGTCTGTCTTTGGGCATGTGTTGGCCAGCACTCAGTCTCTCTTTGTGCAGATCCCTAAGTTGCGCCAAGTCAACGTAGCCGTTTGTTGGGAATCACATACGAAGTTTTCTAGACATCCCCAGGCTTTAGTATCATCCAAAGATAACTTAGACTCTCGAATTTTGTTTTAAAAAACTTAGAAGTAGCAGGTTCTCCTAATTTAAACTTTGGTTTTTTATTCATGTGTAAGCTCTGAAAGTTAGGGGGGAAAAAAAAAAGACTATCAGGACATCATATTTAAAAAAATTCATGATTTTCCTAAATAATAATAATAATATTTAAATAAGACTTTTGATGCTAGCAGCAATCCTTCGGTCCTGGTGAATGCAAGGATTTTTTTTTTTTTTTTCGCTTCCCTGTTTATTTTGGAGGGTGTTGGTTAATTTTTTTTTGTTAGTCTAGTATTTAGACAACAAGGTGTGAACAAAGGAGATAAAAAAGACAGAGGCGGAATGTGGATGCCTCTGCCATTAAGTATGTCAAAGGTATTCAGTATGTGTGTGTTCTGCATATTTAGGGAGTTTCAAGCTTAGTTTTACAATACTTGTTTCATTTCAACCCTGACAAAAAGTTTGTGTTTCTTTAGTCCAGCGATGAGAACCTTCTTAACACTGGGTTGCTTCTGGCCTGACAGGACTCTGAAACTTTTAGCTCCATGTTGCCCTCTTTTCAGGAAGACCTTTGAGATCTTTGTTACCGTATAATCATATTTTTTGTTGTTGTTGTAGTCAGTGCTCTGCATTTCTACACAAACTGTAAAGATATACAGTTTGCATTTTCAGTTCTCCCCCCCCCAGCTCCTTGTGCTTCTCCTCACAGGAGGAGAGCACAGGAAACTGAGAAGTCTTTGACTTAGCGTAAGCACTACTTAGCAACAACCAACGCATCAGTGTGTTATCAGCATTATTGTCACAGTAAATCCAAAACACAGCACTGTCCTGGCTACGAAGAAGAAAATTAACACTATCCCAGCTGAAACCAGGATAGAGCTGTATGTCATGTTTTTGTAAATCAAGCTTTTCAAAGTGGTGGTAAGGTAGCTATCTAGGATGTGTACAAATCCTAGATTATTGCCATTCCTGTTTCTTATGTACTTCGAGCATGTAACAGTTCATTTTTCTGCATTAAAGTGTAATATGCTATAGATCATCTAGCAATGTCAGAAAACTGAATATCCCAAACCTCAGGTTTAGTTAGATACAAAGGCTTTTTAGTTAATATATCAGAAAGGTACAGCACCGCAGTGGATTTGAGCCATTCCTGGGAATAAGTACACTGTTAAAACAATTCACTAACACCCATTTATATTATTAAGATGGGAATTGTCCTTAATGAGGCGATGTGCTTTTAAAAAGGGAAGAATTAGAAAAGGTAAGATGTCCTTAGCTATTGGAAGTTAGTAGTTATGGGTTTTGAAACAGATTTTGCTGATGCTTCACTGGGAAATTCAGGGCTTGTATCAACACCTGTTCAAGCAAAAGTTAAAAAAGGTCTAAAATAAAACTTTACCTAATGAAGGAGTTGGATGCCAGTAGTTTCCAAGTTAGTATTGTAGTTCTTAAAGGGCATGTCCTTTGCTTAGAGCATAAAATCCAAAACCAAGATTAGACACTTCACAAAGAGTGGGTAGGGAGATCAGTCAGGTGGTAGGAAGCACTGGCACAAGGAGCAGTGAGGCTGACCCACAGGATAACCTGACATTTGAGTGTTTTAACTCTGAGCCTTCTCTGAGGCTAAGGAGAAAGCTTGTCTGTCTGCATGTTCTGTGTTCATGTAGAACTGTGTTTAGAAGATGATGAAAATTTGATTTGAAAACCCAGGTTGTTTTGTTTGGTTTTTTTTCCTGTGTTTGTGCCCATATTGTCTTGCTGTGCTAGCTTTGAGAAATTTAGGGAGGGCCAGGGTAACTGGAGATGCCATATGAGTCTAAAATCTTATGGTTCCCTGTTACTGGGAATGACCAGAACCTTGTTCACATAGCTGGGGCTAAGTGAAGGACTTAGCTAGTGTATACCTTGACATGAAAAGTCTGCTGTTTAAGTATCTTAAGAGAAAATTTAAGTATCTACTGGTACTTTTAAGAGTTTGATGTACCCAACTGGCGAGTACTTAGGAAAGTTTGACCCGTTTTCTCATAGTTAACTAAGTACTTGAGTGTTCCCGTAAGTTCTACTTAAAATCAAACCTGAAATTCTACTGATTTCAGTGGAGATAAGTGTGACCTTATAAACGGAGATTTCATGTCTTGGTAGTGACAAGTCAGAAATACTGTAATTCTTGTGAAAGTTACGTTGTACCCAAGAACTCTATGTAATTCTTTTTACCTGGAAGACCAGCTCAGGATGGATACCTCTGTACCTTTCACACACACTCCCCACCCTGAAAACAGGTAAGTGCAAATGTATGTGTTTCTAAAGCCAGTATGAAGATATGAGTATTTGGTCATTCCCTGCTAACCAGGAATCACTATATATTTATCAGTCCAAAATAATTGCCTTGTAAATGGTGAAGATTTGAAAAGTGTTCTAAATTTGTTCTGTGTGCAGGTAGCTTTCCTGAAGAATTTACTTGCTCAGTGACTTAGCAAAAGGTTAAAAAACCCCCACAACCAAAGACTTTACACAAGATAAACATAGAATTTGATGCAGTAAAGCATCAAAATACATAAAGCACTAATGCTTTAATTTGCATTTAAAAAGCTCAGCAAGTACAAAAATAATTGATTTACTGAGAGACAAGTAAATATGATTCTGCTTTCTTGATATCTTTTTGTGATAAGCTTATAATAATCAAGGTTAAGGGATATGCTTAAAGATCAGATACAAGGTCTCAGAAAAAAAAAATGTAATTTTAGCAGATACAGTGCTGTGTCCTGGTATAAATCTGATTTTCTAAATTGCCACAAATTTTTTCACTATTGGTCATTTCTAGTTAGGGGCCTGCATTAAAGCACTACATTACGTTATTTTTTTTAATAATTCCCTTCTCACAAAACCAACTAGAATTTTATTTTCAGAAGGGTAGAATATTTCACACATCCTAAACAGCAACATGCAGTTTCCTCCTTGAGTCTGAGGAGTCCAAAGTGCTGGGTAGCTGCATGGGAGAATCGAGGAGTGGTGTGTGCAAATACATGCTCATACTTTATGCAAGTATGATTCATTTTGATTTCCTCTTGGGGCTTGGTTTTGCATATTTGCTAGCTGCTGGTCATTGGAAGTAAGTGGATTGACAGTGAGAACAGTATTGTAATGATGCAAAGTAATAAAGCAGTTTTCTAAATGCAGCATTTTAAAAAATACTTGATGGCAGCATGCTTGCACATTGGGTATGAAAGGATGTTGCTTCACATGGAAAATTGCAAGTGAGCCACTTAATGACAGTCAGTAGTGCATAGGAGATGAATTATGATATCTGCACTACAGTATCCCCCAAATGGAGAGTTGTGTTGTGCTGATGTGTATGTTTTAACTAAGTTTAGGGAGAATAACAGGAGAAAAAATAACTTAGTAAGTTAAGAAGCCTGTATAGCTTGGGGAGGGCATGGGGGGTGGGGTTAAGAGTTAGGTCCATCAGTCAGTAGCAATTGAATATATAATGTGCAAGCCATTCGCCTTCAAGTGGACAAATGTCTATACTGCATGAACAGTGAGTAAACAACAGCAGCTCGAAACTGGATGGACTGTGGTACTATGGTAAATCCCTGACCTGCTTGGCTTAAAGCCTTCTAAACTTACTTACAGTGGGAGGTAAGACGGTACAAATGATTGTTCGAAATAATTCTAAATTGGACCCATTACCAAGCAATCTGTGACCAAGAACCATTTTTGATTCTCAGTTTCCGCTTTCAAGTTTTGGTTGTTTTGTTTCTTTGGTTTTGTTTTTTGTAATAAAATCTATGTTACTGCAGTGATGTGCATTACTGCATTAATAGTCCCCTGTTTTCTCCCACTCAAACTGTCCACCTCTGTACAGAGTGTCACACAATCTGTCAGGTGTATTTATGGGGTTTAGTGTTCTCTTCAGCATCAGGGACAGGACCAGCTGCTGCTGAGGGCAGAGAACTGAATGAACTTCAAAGCTGCCATTGCATCTGACATGTTTTGCAGTGTGAGAAGGACAGAGCTGCATGTAGTGACTTAAATCTGTTTACTGTTAAAACATCTCTCATGCACGGCATTTGTTTGAGCTAGTAGTTATTTTGTGACATTTAACAGGACTGCTTCAGCTATTTTATTTCTGACTAAGATAAGTCAGAAGAGCTTCTAAAATTTCCATTTTCCATATTAATCTACTTTTTTTTAATGGAAATGGTGTCTCATTTAAAATATGTCTCAGAAATTTCAGTCCCCTACACACTTGATGTTTTTGAAGTAATGATATAACAATTTCAGCTTCTTTTGGAAATAATTTACCATTCAAACTGAAATGTGTATGTCAAATTTCAATCCTAAGCAAATCCTGACTGGCAAAACTCTTAAGAGTTGAAGGGAAATAGCTGTGTTTTTGTAATAGAAATATCCAGTCAACTGTAACAGTTCATGACATGGATATATTAATGGTTGTGTAATTCATACGACATTAGAGAAGGTATTTATGGCTACTTTATATTCAGAGTCTAAGAAAATTTTTTTTTTTTTTATCAAATGAACAATCAGCTCAAAATACATATTCCTTAAATGATGACTTAGGAGTCAAGTTGTTAAATGAAAATATATGGTGTATACCTTGGAGATTTATGTTGTTTGCTCTTTTTCTCTTAGGAAGCCTGACAAATAGAAAAATACTACAAAGTGAAGAGAAAATTCACTTCACAAGAACTGAGCTCTGCTTTCATTGGCTTCTAAATTTATTTATATTAGTAGCTGACTAGTGTCAGATCATCTCTGTAGTCTACTGTGGTGAAATTATTAGGTTAAAGCTGGAAAAGATGAAACAATTAAAGAGAAAAAGAAAAAGCAATTTTAGTGTTCAGGAAACTCAAACTCTCCTTAAGGAAATCAGAAAAAGGAGAGAAGTACTCTTTTCAAAGCAACTTAATACAACAATTAATGAGATGAAACGGAAAGCTTGGGAGGAAATAGCAGAGTGTGTCAATGCTGTAGGTGAAGGAGAGCAAAGAACAGGGACAGAAGTGAAAAGGCGATACCTTGACTGGAGAGCACTCATGAAGAGAAAACGTCTGAATGCAAACATCAAAGTAGTAGGTGCTGGGTTTCACCTTCCTTCATCCAATTTAGATGACTCTCTCAATGAAGACATGGATGAGAAAATGGGATTTTCAATTGAATCTAGTTTTGAATGGCAAAATATCACTGACTTCAGAGAAGCCGGAGGATCTTTAACAGAAATCAAAGTAGAAGAGGAAGAGGAGGATCCGCAGAATTTCGAAGTGAGTGACTGACATGCATTAGCTGTGTGCAATATGGCCTTTGTTTCATTTCAGCATAAGGCTGCTGTGTTTCTTAGTAGTCTCTGTCTCTGGTTTTTTTTCCTGAATTTGTGAATTAAAGAAACCGTAGAAACAAGTATATTTCAGAGAGATGGTATTCAAATCTAGCAACTTGGAATTGGGTGTAAGGTCTTGGATGTTGATTATTCAGTTGATATACCTAAAGCTTGAATATGCCTTTGCACATGTATTTTCCATTTGTATGTGCCATGGATAAGAATTAGTTCAGTCAATAGAATGAAAATAACGCTCTTGAAGGAAACTGGTTATTGTAATACCCAGGCTGTCTGGATGGATGAACAGAGAAGAAAAGTGCACTTCTTCAGCAAATGAAAGTATATGTTACCTGCAGGTACAGATGGCCATTCTTCTCTTTCAGAATTTTAGTGTGAATTTTACAAGCAGTTACAGATTCTCTAGACAGGTTGTTACTCCTAGTAGTACTCTGATTGTCCTGGGGAAGGCAGCCAACTGGAGTCAAGTCAAATGTTGGAATAGTTTTTCTGTGCCTCTACAAATACATAGTTCTTGTTTCGAAAAGGGGTATTCAAACAGTTTTGCCTTTTTTTTTTTTTCCCGAGTGGGAAGGGTAGGGAAGCAGCTTCTGTCTTAACTCATTTGATATATGTGCTGGGAAAAAATCAGCAGAAGCTGTTAAATGGTAGCGAGACTACTGTCAGACAGTGCTGGAGAAGAGTATCTGTCTTCTGCTGAGAGCATTGGTCCTAACCATCTCATCATCTGCATCATAAATAGCTTTACAGCAAATGTGGTAGTACAGAGTGGTTAAAGTCCTGTATATATACCCACTTAATGGAGTTCGGGGGGCTAAGAGCATGTGAAAGATGTCAGTGTTAAATGTTTTATAAAAAATGGAATCCTCAAGTTAGTGAAGGTTGGGTTAGCTTACATACCACATAGCCTATGAATCCATCTGCTCTGATAAATAATTAGTCTCAGCAAATTCCTAGTGGCTTCTTAAAATGTCACTCAGGTCTATGAAAAGTGAGAACAACATATGGTCTCTTAGATCCTTTTTTCTATCAGTGGTCCTGAATGATCTGTAATAACTATGCCGTGTTTTCTGTATGTTCTTGCATGTTCTCTGTGTTGCATTCTGTTTGTTCCACTGACAAGCTGATTTTGCATTTTTCATTACCAGGTATTAACCTACAGATAAAGTGAGTTTCTCTACCTGTGTAATGGCAGAAAAATTCTGTGATCTAAAATGGTTATTTCACAACACGTGATTTAAACAGTTCTGAGTAGCTTTAAAGATGAAAAAATGCAATATATTCTTTTCAGTCAAGTTGTGTGTAACGCATTTATTCTGGCATAAAGACTGGAGTGTAATTCTTGTCTGTCACATTCCTCTGCAGTTTCCTATTGAGGAAGAAGAAGAAATATTGTCATCAGTTTTGCCAGATTCGAAAAAGGAAAATGACCTGCCAGACTTCCCCCACATTGAAGAGTTTGGAAATCTAAGCTCTGCTCAAGCTAGGCTAGCCTATGAAGATTCTCACTTGCTTATAAATCTGGAGAAGCAAAAGCTGGATCTGGAGAAACAGCGACTAGACATTGAAGCGGAAAGGCTGCAGGTGGAGAAGGAGCGCCTGCAAATTGAAAAGGAACGGTTGCGGCACGTTGACTTGGAGCGTGAGAGGCTTCAGATTGAGAAGGAGCGACTTCAGATTGAATGGGAGAAACTCAGGCTTGAGACCCTGCAATCCGAAAAACCTGCCCTGGAAAATGACCTCACTCAAACAGAAAAACCCATCATGCAGCCTCTGGATCTAGAAACTGAAAAGTTAAAACTTGAAAAAGAACGTTTGCAGTTAGAGAAAGAGAGGCTGCAGTTTCTAAAGTTCGAGTCAGAGAAGCTGCAGATTGAGAAGGAACGCTTGCAAGTGGAGAAGGAGCGCCTTCGAATTCAGAGAGAGGGTCACTTGCAGTGAACTTCTCAACTAAAGTGTCAACATTAGTGTTTTGATGTTTCTAAAATAGAAGTAGTTCTTTTCTTAATACTGAAACTGTCCTAGAGGCTAAACATTTTTCTGTTCAGAGTTGAACATTATGTTAAACTGAAAAAAAAATGGTGCTCAATATGTCAGTGTGCCAACATAAGTGAGCTTATGTGTGAAATTGCTTTTCAGTGTATCAGAACTAAGTGTTATGTTCTTGTCTTCAGTATTGTGCTGTATTAGTTTGGTGTCCTCCTCTTACAGACATGTTGAGAAGAATCAAGGCTGAACCTTATGCTGTTTTTCACTGTAGTAACAGTAAGGGAGGATCAGAATAAATCAACATATGTTGTGAGGACATGGTGCTGACAATTGCCCATACGGTAACAAAGTATAATTTAGGCAGAACACAGTAATACAGAGTCATGATGAGATTGATTCATTAAACTTAGTTTCCCCCTTTTTTTTTTTTTTCTCTCACCCCCACAATTGGAAAAAGAATTGAAAAGTTTTACAGAAGTTAAAGTGCAAGTTAAATTTGTAGCAGTTGTTTTTACTGTTGTTCCATGGCTTGAACTGAATGAGAGTGCAGAAAGTAATACTGTTTCTTTTGCATTTAGTATTCATACTAGATAAAGTTACACATCAACCATAGCTACTGTAAGCTAGACTTTCGGTTGCACCAGATACTTAATAATGCTGTATGGAATATAGCACCTGCATTAATATAGCACAGGGATTTGCTGTCTGGTGAGTCTGTGATGATCCCCTGAAGGAAATTTCTAGATGTGGTTTGTTCATTGAAAGACAGTAGCTGGTGATGGGAGTTTCAGGAGTAGAGACACAGAGGCTAAGCGGAGACTAAGGAGCACTGAGCTTGAACACGAACATGCTTGTTGCTGGTTCTGCCTGGCCAGCACTGGGGTCATGTCTGCAAGGCAGCCAGAAGAGGCTTCTATGACTGACACCATATAGTATATTTTAACTAGATGAACAGAAATAGTCCATGCTGAAGGCTGTTGATATTTTTCATAAGCAATGTATTCATTTAACAAAACAAAACAAAAAAAAAAAACAAGGAAGAAACCAAGGAAGGAAGCTTTCATTATTTTGTATATGTTTAAATCCCAACTGAGCCCCATTTCACATTTCTCATCTTTCTGCAAGTAGCTATCTTTTGCTGACTCCATTTGAAACTTAGGACTGTGAGAATATATGTTGAGTGACTTCCGTGAATTCTTGTGCAAGTAAATATATTTATACCACTACAGGTTTACTTTTATTCTGCAAAGAAAGTGTTATTTTTTTATTACTGAAACAAGTGTGCTTCTACAGTGGAAATAAATTTGACTACTACACTTCAAAATGGTTCTTGAGACTGTCTTTCTTCACAGAGGGAGAAGGCTATATCTGAAGAGAAACCTGGATACTCAACACTGTGGCACCCCAAAATTTCTGGTGCTTATATTCCCTGTGTAGTAAATCACGGAGATCAAACCCTTCAGAGTTGAATTCAATCAACTAGCACTTACTTGAGAAAGGAAAGGGGGACATCAACCAGCTAGATAGAAATGTCCCAGGAGGGAAGTGTATCTGAAATTTTTTTTCCTGGATGTGGTTGGCTAACAGAGGCTTGATGCCAGGTGCTCCCCAGAACTGCTCTATCACTCCCCTCCTCAGCTGGGCAGGGTAGAGAAAATGCAACAAAATGCTCCTGGTTTGAGATAAAGACAGGGAGAGAGCACTTCTCATTTACTGTAACAGGGTAAACAGATTCAGCTTGGGGAAATTAGCTTATTACCAATCAAAGAAGAGTAAGGTAAGGAGAAAAACTTAAATTTTTAAAGGCCTTTTCTATAGCCTTCCCTTCTTCCCATGCCTTAACCTGATTTTCTGTACCCACTCCCCCGAGCAGTGCAGGGGAATGCAGGCTGTGTGGTCAGTTCCATCACACACTGTCTCTGCTGTTCCTTCCTCCTCAGGGGGACTCCACAGTCTTCCCTCTGCTCCAGCATGGGGTCCCTCCCACAAGAGACAGTCCTCCAAAAATTTTTCTAGTATGAGTCCTTCCCACAGGCTGCAGTTCTTCATGAACTGCTCCTGTATAGGTCCCTTCCACGGGGTCCAGTCCTTTAGGAACAGGCTGCTCTATTGTGGGTGACCTGTGGGGTCCTGCTGGCAAACCTGTTCCAGGGTGAGCTCCCCTCTGCATGGAGCCACAGGTCCTGCCAGGAGCTTCAGTGTGGGCTTCCCACGGGGTCAGAGCCTTTATAAGGTGCTTCTGTCTGCTCTGGTGTGGAGTTCCTCCAAAGGCTCCAGGTGGATCTTTGCTTTATTGTGTGCTCCCATGTGCTACAGGGACACATCTGCCCCACCACAGGTTGCAGGGGAATCTCTGCTCCAGTGCCTGCTGCACTTGCTGCTTCTCCTCCTTCATGGACCTTGCTGTCTACAGGGCTTTTTTTATCTCACATGTTGTCCCTCCTCTCTCTAAATGCAGTAACTTTTTCCTCTTCCTAAATAACATTATCCCAGAGTTACTACCCCTGTTGCCAATGGACTTGGTGTTGGCCAGTGGCAGATCCATGTTGGAGCCAGGTGGCATTGGCTCTGTCGGATGTGAGGGAAGCTTGTGGCAGCTTCTCACTGTAGCACCTCCTGCTACCAAGACCTTGCCATGGAAATCTAATACATTGAAATAAAGTGACAAATTTTTAGCTCCTTGATACGTATCAAGCAAATTAATATTAAAAATACCTTTCTGTATTTTGGAGAAATTACTTGTCTTTTCCTTTTAAAACATGAGAGAAGCAGAATTCAGGAGGTTTGTCAGGATTTTCTAGTGCATAGAGCATTGACTGAGGTAGTGGGATAACATGGATTTTATGATTGCTGCATCCTGGGGTGACCAACTTTCTAGATAATTATTCTGACTGCCAAACAAGGTGAGTAGGAACAAGGGGCAACATAGCCAGCTCTGCAAGAGGAAGTGACCAGAAAGACCAGACCAGGACAGAGAGAACCTTCCTACAGTCTTCTCTGAAAGAAGTAACTGGCCTGAAATGACGAAATGTGGAATCTAGGTCCTTTTTTGACAGGTAGTTGAGCTACTGCTTGATTCTATTACTTCTGTCTTAACGTTTTACTCCAACTGTATGATTTATGCATTAGGATAATGGTTTGTATTTTACATTGGACACCTTCAGAATTACACCCTAAGAGAATTAAAGGTTACAGGAAAAATATATATAGATAAATTTGAACTGTTTCTGAGTCCGGAATTGTTTCAGAAATTTGAACACTTCTCCAAATGTTAATAGTGCAGTATATTAGCAATTATTTTCTAACAGCTATTCAGCCTCCTAGGGAAATTATGCATCCTTTGGTTATAGAAAACCTCTTGGAAAATACTGAATGATGAAATTAAGTAACCTGATAAAATCATTGAAAATACAGTTTCAACATAAAATTTAGAGAAAATTACAGAGTTTTATACATCAATTTTATAGCTTGTTTTTTTAAGAACAAAAATGCAGTAATTTTCCGGAAATTTGAATTTAAATGTCACATCTTTAGATAATAATCTGCAATCTCTTTAAACTCAATTCTTGATTCACCAACCTGGGATCCTGACAGCAAAGCCTAAGGGCAAGATTTCAACCATGTAAATGTAATCAAAGGTAGGACATACAAATGAACTCAGTTCTCTACTAGAGAGGGAGAGATTTGTAGTCCTGCTTAAAAGAAGGGCCTGTGATTTTAGGTAGTGAGTGACTTTTTTGGACTGGGAAGAGGTTTAAGACAAGGGGGAAACCACACCTATTGAAGGAAGAGTATTGGAGAAAAAGGAGAGGAGTGAAGATCAAACATTTGGTGAGAGGGGAGACAGGGGAAACTGGTGATAGAGAAATATCCTGTTTTCATCTTAAATTGCTTTATTGAGGTTTTGTCTGGTGCACTGATGTCAGATCTCATGGCTCTGCGACTCCCATGGGAATTTACAAACAGGGAAGATGAGTGGCTTGAGGTCCAGCATGCAGCTTCACAGCTGCTGACAAGGGTGGCAGTTCACAGACTCTGTGTGTGCCATCTGATTTCTGGTCCTGCAGTGGGAACATGTGCTGGGACCTTCATAAATGCCATTATGTCCACTACTCTATGAAGAGGTTTCTAGCCTGTAATTTTCGAGCCAGAAGGCTAAATAACAAAGGTAAAATAAAAGCTACCTCAGTAAGTTCCTTACTGTCATTAACCATGGGTTCCACCAATTTGGGCCTGGCTAAGACATTAATGAAGAGAGGCAGTGTGCTCCCAGGTGTTTTTGCAATGCAATTTGGAGACGGGCTGGCTAATGCTTAACAGTGTTCTACCAACAGGCAGAGGAGATCATAGGGTAAGGTTGTAAATGCGGTCCCCAAGGACAGCCCAGGATGAACAGCAGCCGTACTCCCAACAGGACACAGCTGACACAGCACAGTAGGATTCAAAGGCAACTTCTTTCCTTTGAGTAAGTGGTCTTGTTATTTCTTGGACATTTTGAGAAACTTTCATTGTGTCTAAAGAGATGCTGCAAGCAATTTGTACACAAGGTGTAAAATAATAATTTATTAAGATAAATTATTAAATTATCATCAAGACAAATAAGAGATGGTTAGGATTTCATAAGCTCTCAGACTTAGCATTGGTACTGTCATCGCCTCAAGATGTCTTTACTGTCCAGGGAGTCATCAGCCAGGAGAGTAAGGATTTCTGAAATCCCCCTTGCAAGTGGGAACAGAAGCTAGTAACTCATATTTCTTCACCTTTTCACAGAGCTGTTGATGCAGTTGCCACGAAAGAGCATCAGTGATATCAGCTGCCTCTCTGGATCATCCTCCCCCAGAAGCTCCCCTCAGAAAGGCATAGAGTTCTCCAAGGAGATGGAGTCAGACCTAGAGCTGATATTTGACAAACACAAAAATACCCTCAAAAATCCTACTCCATGTCAATCAGGAGCCTTGACAGAAGTGCTAGGTGGGAGAAGAGGGAGGAGGAAAGACTGATTTTTCTCTGTTGTTCCTGAAATAAATTAGCAAATTTAAGCCAGAGTGTCCAAAAATGCTACCACATGCAATGATGTTTGGCATCAAGGAATCAGAATTTTTATAGCTGGTATTGAGACTATAGAAGGATTTGTTTGTTTTGTTTTGTTTGTTTAACTAAAGTGAGAAGAAAGTAAAAAATATTGCATTTTATAATAAATGCCCAGCCTTTTTTTTTGTTTTCAACTTTTTAGAAGATGCTTGCTCCAAGCAAATAGGAAGAGGCAGGGAAGAACACCTTCCAAAAAGAACTTGGAACAACTTATAGTACTTCATCTTTTCCTTTCTTTTTTTTTTTTTTTTTTTTTGGTCAATTTGTAACAAAACAATGATTTTCTTCAAATGATTAGCTGCACCACTAGTGCTTTTGGCTTGGTGTCACCAGGCAATCTAGCAGTGACACAGTGATCTAGGCATTTGCCACTCAAACAGCATCCTATGGGAGTCAGGAAGGGAACACAGGGCAATGGGGCTGAGGAAGTTCATTTTTCCTTCCTGGCCTCTTAAAGCAAAATCTCCTGATGCTAGGTCATACTTCCTATGCAAATGAATGCAACAGTTCTTAGCCATCACAAAACATAATAGAAAAAAAATAGGTCCATTGACACAAGACCAGGAGAAGCCCTTTTCAGACACTGCACATAATCCTGTTAAACTTGACCTATTTTAGAGGACACTTCCATCCTCTCCTTTTACAGATTATTAAGAGTACCACTGTTATTTTCTGTTCCAGTTTTATTGTTTTTAATTTCCCTGCTTCACACTATCAGTAGTTTTATTCTACCTTGTCTTGCTACTTCCATATTTTCTAATTGCAACACTCCATCATTAGTCAACGGGTTCATAATGTGGAAGGCAAAGTTGCTATTTCATTTCATGCTATATAATACAATGCTTTTGGTTCAGTAATTACATTGTGCCAGACTCATGATCAGTCCTGAGATAGCTCACTTGTGATGGATAGCCCCATCACAGAGTGTATAAGAGTTAAAGGAAGAAGCGAATTTTTAATTTTGTTCCTCTGTCAATCTAGCTACTCAGATACTGCTTTTCAGACTAATATTTATTTCACCGAGATAGGTAGAGATTACACAAATGAGAACTTAAAAGAGAGAACTGAAGTTTGAAAAGCATTTTCTGACGTTTTGGTTTGCAAAACAGGAAAGATATAAATTAGACATTGTTCCACAGAAAACTATTGTGTGTTAATCTGTTAATGGATCGCAAATCTTTTAGTCACCTGTTTATTGTACTGGAGAAAACCATTAACTGCTTCTTA